GGGTGGGGGCAACGCGGTGTGCCAGACCGTAGGTACTGACACGCGATCGTTCATGTTGGTTCATTTCCTTTAATGTTTTCTGTCTTTTATTTGCGCCTGATGCGTTTGCTGCATGCTGTGGAGCGGGGCGCTGCGCGCATCACCTTGTCCTCCCGACGCACTGATCACTGATACGGCCGACAAACAGCGAGCACTCCGCTGTTTTTGCGGTCGGTAGATCTTTTAGAACTGCAGTTCAAAGGTAACTCATGAGGTGAATATATATGAACCCAGGTAGCAGTTTTTCTTTAGGATTGAGAGGAGATGCAGGAAGATAATAAACAGACAGGACAGAAAAATAGTCAAATAAAAACAAGTTAGTTTTTGTACCTGCTGTTGCAACAAACAGACACCATTGAAGGTCATCAGAAGTGAGGAACAGAAAATGAAATAATTATTTTAATGTTTAGAGCAGCAGGAACTCCGAGAGGCTGCAGGCGCATCAGTGAGTTTGCGGCCGCTGCGCAGGGGGAGGGGGGAGAGGGCTAAAGCAGGGGGAGGGGGGAGAGGGCTGAAGCAGAAACTACCGTTGTTAAAAGAAATGTGTTTAACTTTGAAAATGTGGGCGCAATTTTAATTGTCAAAAACTCCAAGGAACATTAGTTCATTTTGCTCAAATGGAAATAGAGGCCTGCCTCTAATACTGGCCCTCCTTCCAATAAAGGCCTGGAGCTTGGTGAGCTTGAGTCAAATAGAGGCCTGGGCCTGTATTAGAGGATTTACGGTATATATATATATATATGTCAATAGTATTTAATGGAGGACCCAGGAAAGTGCGAAAGTGTAGAGGTTCAGTGAGACCAACAACCAGATAGTCCATTAGTTACTTTTGGACTGAAAGGTCTTAGGGAGTTTTAGGCAAATGCGAGAGAACTGTTTAATGAAAAAAAAAGTTTCCTTTCCTCCAATATATATTTACAGCTATAGTATGTTAGAGCACACGGGTGCTCACATGGTGATCTCATAAGTATGGACTTGGGCATTTTCAACACACGTCTTAAGGCTGTGGTCGGCACTTAATGCCCTGTGATTTACTATCGTGTGATTGTTGTGTAAAACAGTGTTAATTTTATATTTCTTCATCAGGTTGACGCAGGGATAGTTTGCTCTAGTTATATTGTTGTGTGTTGTTTTTCTCCTTTGCAGGTCTAGAATCAGACTCTTGTTCGTCATTGATTGTTTATTTTTGTGGAACCCCCCACCCTCCTCTCTTCCTTTTGTCTCTTCCTTTCTCTTTCACCTCTGTCGCCGTGTCTGGTCAGAAATATAAAGCATCCAAAAAACAACAATAAAGTTTTAAGTATCAGGAGTGACATTTAAGCAGCAGCTTTCATACTCCACCTGAGACTAAATCTGTAAGGCTCGTCACCAGCATTCAGACATAAACTCTGTTTGCTTCACAGCCAGACAGGACACGGGAAAAACAAATAATAATAATAATACTACTACTAATAATAATAATAATAATAATAATAATAATAATAATAATAAATAGAATGTTGCTTTAATATGAAAAACATTTTTTAAGCTAATTTGTTTTTCAAATTTGTCATTGCAGCTTTTAATAGCTTGGGTCTGCACAAGCTCAGTAACTTGACATAATTTACTGTGAAAAGCAGCCAAATCTTGTAATTTTATGTAATTTTGAATCCTATTCAGCATCTTTCTAAAAATGACAGCGGTAACTTATCAAAGCTATGTTGGGGGGAGTATAACCCCACAGCTTGGAAATCTATCAACAGAAAACATACATCTGCTTTCCACGCTTGGAGAAAAAAATACATTGTTTTGCTTTTGTAAAATCTAAGTTCACCAGATTTTAAATTCACACATTAATTCAAGCTTGACATTTTTATTTAACCATTTCACAAAGGCATTAAACTATTTATGAGATACAAATTTAACATGCTTTAATTATATGTAAAGCCTTGCAAATGAGACGTTTCACTTGACATAATCACACTTACACTATAGCAGGAATTTGGTTTTCCCAGTTTGTGGCCTCAAAAGCCACAAATCACTGCTCCATTGACATTGTTGACATCAGTTTTGTGTGGTCTGTGTATCTGATTCATACCAAATGTGGAGAGTTTGACTAACGTATCATCTTACAGTACAAGGGCAATAAATTTAAAAAAGCTTCGTTCTCCCATTGGGATTCAATGGAAACTGTGATTTCTTTGGAAAATTGTGAAGCTTGTTGAAGAAAAAAATAAGAAGTTGGGAGGAAAAACCTTCTACTTGAAAGTTTTTGCCTATTTTAGGTTGTGAACACAAAAAAAAGCACAATGATGCTGCTAAACAAAAACCAAATGGAGATTTTATAAAGTTTGTGTCACATTTTTGGAAGTGGTTATGACATCAACCTGTACAAAAGTGTTGGTGGACAAACATGCGCTCTTGGAGCTTACAGATTCCTCAAGAAGAGTCTGGGGACTGAAGGACTCTCTAAATATTTCAATTTTAAGGAAATTCCCAAACAAAAGTGGTGGCATGTGATGTAAGCTACTTAATGGGCTGCCTTCAATACAAGATGACTTGCAGTTTCAAGATGCAAGGAAAACTTGAGAAAAAATCCAAGCAAACTGAGATGGCTAGCTACTTGCTAATGCCCTTTTCACACAAGACCCCACTCTAATTCAATTGATACGCTTTGGGATCGATAAAGGATGTTCACAGAACCATATTTTACTTGTGAAAAAAAATGTACGTGAAAATGGTCTTCTTCCCCCTATTTCCTGCATTAGCCGTCAACAGGCAATAGACGGGGAAACACTTGGGTCAGAAAAAGACACTCGGATCTACATCACATTGCAAATTAACAATCATGGAATCACCCGTCTTGATTTGTGATGGGGAAGATTGCTGATTTAGCTTCCAGGAGAGAGCAGAGAACGTCTCGGAGAGTAGAAGCTAACCTTTAGCATTATCAACACCATGGAGTCGGTGGTGGAGTTGTGTTGGTGTTAGCCAACTAGAGGTGAAATATCCAAACATCAGGAAATAAAAGTGGCCTTTTTCTGGGTTATTTTCAGGAACCAACATAGTACCTGAACAGGGATAAGTACTTGGAAAGGCCCAGAAGAGTAGCTGAGTGGAACTTTTGGTCAACTCGCGCTGATTGGCAGTCCATAACAACCGGCGTTAGTAAAATTCAAAGAGTTGCTTGTGAAGATAAAAAAGATGCACAAGCATTTTGCTATTGTTTAACTTCCAACACCAAAAAATGCAGCGAAAATCCCCCCACAATGACATAATTCCCAGGGCTTTGTCTCACAGAGCGCCATTAAAAAGTGATGCTTCTTCTGGTCATTGAACACCACATTTTGCATCACACAGCAGCTCTCCCTGTCCTGCAATTGGATTTACTGTAATTGCACAGTACTTTGACAGAATAAAACCTTTAAATGTTAATGTGGACACTTTTTTGCGCTGACCAGTGACATCACTCACTGCTGAAGCAATTACGATATGCTATTGTCTGTGCAAAGTCTCCCAGTCAAATTCCTTCTCCCAGAAATTATCCTGAAGTCCAGACAATTGAAATACACCTTTTGTTGGCTCAACAATCTCCCACTGAAATAATATATTGTAGCTTAGATTGCCAGAAAGAGTTTTTGCCACTGAGCACAGATGCTGATATCAACTTAGCAGTCAACAACTTTTGTTAATATTGAGCAGCTTCCCACTCCATCTGCCAGCATGGAACACCAACTCACGGTTTGAAAGTAATACCAACTGACGGCAACACATATAAAACTCTAAACAAAACTAAAACAATGCTAACATAACCCAGAACACGGTACAGAACACAACAGAAATGGAACAAACTGTGATTTACTCCCACAATGCACCACACCGCTGCTTAGTCTGGCAGTGGGCGTGGTCACTACATATACATATCATAATATCTCCAAACAGGACCCCTCTGGGTTCAGACTACAGGTGAATTGCACATACATTGTGCCAGGCTGGATCTGCCCTCCCTGGCTCGCAGTAGTTGTAGGAAAGAGAGAACTGGAATGGGAGCTTTTGGGTATGGAACAGTTCATAAGTACCAAACGTGTATTTTGTAATTTGCATTATTCCTCATTTCTACAGCTCATTACAATTACATGACCAACTATTCTAATTAAGTCACATTTTACCAAGTTTTTGAACCTTTGTGGAGCTACTTTATTAATTAAGAAGTTGATCATATTTGGAAATGCTACAGTAAGAAGGCCGTGATCATAATAAATGAAGGTTTGCTATGCTTTTCAGCAACTCTTGGAGGTTTTCTGCCTTTTCAAGACAGTCCTTTATCCCCCCACAATCCATGCGCCAGCAACACATTCCCATGAAGACCATAACAAACACGCTTTCCTGTTATGACTCACTGACCAAATCAAAACGCAGCTACAGGTGAGTAAATCACTCCACGTTAGCACAATGCTAATACGCTTTCAGTTTAACTGCATGCTGGCTTCTATGTGCTGCTACTACAATAATATTCAACTTTGCAAAAGAGTAAAAATAATGCAAGCTCCGAATATTAACTTATTACTCTGTATAACACATAGTAGAACCTTGTAAATATGAACCTGAAGTCTTCAAATATTGTTCGTGTTTTGGCTAGATTTTTTAGACTTGTCTTCTGTGGTTGAAATTTCCTCCTCTCATAAAAACTCATCAAAACCTTTCTTGAAAACCTCCTGAAACATTAACATTTTATTCCGTCCAACTTTGAGGAATTATAGTTCAGGAAAACTTGGATTTTAGTTGTTTTTAATTATTATTTAGAGGAACATATATATATATATATATATATATATATATATATATATATATATATATATATAATGTATTTCAGTTTTAAACAAATAGTTTTAAGGTCAAATCTCAAGTCTAAGGAATTTAAGTTATTTTGAAAATCTGTTTATTTTTAGGCTAAAATATTAAAACAAAAACAATTCACACAGTAGAATTAAGATTATTTTATTAAAGTGTTTCCATGGATTATTTGCACACTTTAAGCTAAGCTCAGATTTCATTCGTTGCATGACTGAACAGGTGGTTAGCTCACAGTATAAGTGCAAAAATAGAAGAATAAGGGATTTTACTGTATTTGACGGTAAAAAAAAATGCCACTGTTTCACATTCTGATGTAAATTTTACATTTAAATGCAATCCCATTGGGCCCTCTGAGGCTTTGTTAACAGCACTGCAAAATATTACTGTATTCTAATCTGTTAAAAATCTGGTGGCAATAATATTTATGCCATAAAATGAAATCAGACATCCAAAAAACAAACATCCACCTTAAGAACATCTGTTCATAATCAGATAAATCCACTTATGGTAATTCTACAAACAGACATCAGTACACTGAAGGCAGAGTAAAACACTCGTCACGGGACAGCTTAGTTTAACATGGGCATCCTCAGATCTTCTGACTGGCAGTTTTCATTTACTTTTACAAAAATAAAAGTCTTTAAGCTGTTTATGTGTTTACGATGGCTTAAGATGGACATTTTTCGTGGTCTACAGAGGGATTGATAACAGGATCGTAGAGTAAACTCCATTTTACCATCACTACAAAAATACTTTACAGCACTGCTGTTGATGTATTACATGCATATGGATTAATTGTGGAAATATACTTGAATTTTCAGGGCCGTATGTCGGCCAATGGCTTTTGTGGAAGTTCTATCCTGACACTATAAATATAGATTTATTTTTAAATGAGGAGTATTCCACGGTTTGTTTAATGGAAAACATGTGTAATGTCAAAAAGAGAATACTGTAAATAAGATATTATGTGCAAAAGCCTAATTTTTGTGAATGGCATCAGTAAACCTGCATCAGCTGAAGATGGGTTAAATCCAACATTTGCAGTAACCAACACCATATAACAATTCATTCAACCTGAGTTTGTCCATATAATAAACTAATAATAAAATGATACAAAATGAAATTCTAACTCACGAGTAGGTTCATTCAAATAGAGGGCAAGTAAGTATCTAGCCCCATCGTGTGGAAAATACATAGATTGCATTGTGAGTTCATGTTAAACAAAATAAATATAAACATGGCAATGCATAAATATTTTATGACTCACATTATAATTTCTAAAATAATTAATGTTCTGGGTAAGTTACATGTTCACTCAAAATTCACTGACATGCCTGCAAACTAGTGCACAAAAAGCAATGCTTTAAAAATGTGTAAACAAACGAAGGGTGCTGAATATTGAAACGTCTACATGACATGAGTTCTTCAGTCCCCACACAACATAGCAACAATCACAGTTTAAATAAACATCCATGTAGGCATGTTACTAAAAAGGTGGACTCCTTTGCACACTGACCATATCGACACTCATTTGTTTTCTAAACTTCATAGCAGCACTTAGTTGTGTTCCTTTCTTGTTTAACGGATGTTTTCCTGCTGTAAACCTTTAATGGCGGAGGAGCTATTGAAAGTTTTCATCCCAGATGGGGTTAGTAAACGCGCACTAAAAATAAAAATGAAAGTTATAACGCCCTAACAGCAATGTCATAGCTCAGACAAAAACAGAACACTGGGACGAGTCCAGAAATTCGACTGCAAAACCAACCTGAGCAGCTAAGCCTTAAACAAACCTGCTTTGTTTTCTTCCTTCAGATCTAAGAAGATTGGAGCACGTTGTTACGCATTCTTTTAAACTATCCAATGAAGGTTGGTCTAAGTTACGGCATTTGAGGATAGATCTTCATGGCTTTGTGGCTTTGTTCCTCCAGGAGTGTTTAGTGAAAATCCTGTTTGGCTTCTAATTGGGGGTCTCAAAAAACATGAAGTCCTGAAACAAAAAAGGAACAAAAATATTGTTTTAGGCATCTTTTACATAATATCTCAGACAAACTGTCTTACATATATGCTAATCTAAAGTCACATAAAGCCACAAACTATAGACAAAGTGGTAAATTGATTAGTAAATGCATTTACTTTCTGACTACTGGTGACAAGAAATGCACTCCCCGTGAAAGAGGGGTCACATGAGGTCACAACGTGTGTGGTAACTGGTGTACAGACAACGCCACCCAAATTGCAATGTGAAGATCCCTAAATTATATCAATTAGAAGACTCTAACAACACAGATCATCATCAAGCTGAATTTATACCATGTTGATTAACAACTCGAATGTCCGATGCTCCACTTACGATGAGAAAACATGCTCCGATCATCACAGCTTTCATCCGCACATCAAGATCCATGGGGAACTGGATCCCAAAGTTGTCTGAGTCTGTGAATGCCTCCCTCAGCAATCCTGTCCACTGTTTACTGATCTTCCCAATTTTACTGACTTCATCCATTGTCAAAATCTGAGGAAAGATAAATACGAAAGACAGATTTACAATGACATTGGATAAAAAGACTGATGCTTTTGGAGGAAGATCATGGAACGAATTACATTTTCAGCTGCTTTACTTGTGCTAATTTTAGTCCTCTATTTTTGTAATGACTTCAAAGAATCTTGGGAGGAGTTGTGATGGTAACATCATGCTTCAGTTACCACTCCTCTGGGTCTTGTAAAAGGTCTGCATCACTGACCCAGAACACCCCCCCCCCCCCCCCCCCCACACACACACACAGCTCAGTTCAATAAAACTTTGTGAGCCACAGAACAAAGGCCAGACTGTACCAAACATGCCTTGTGTAGTGGCTTCATCCAGCCGGTGCATGAGGACGCCAGCATTACAAAAATAGTTTGAAGGGAACCATTGTTGCAACGTCATGTTTGGACAGATTTAAAGGACTTCTGCATTTAAAAGATCTTACCTCAAAGTCAACATCTGGAAGGCAGCTCCATCCACAGAAGGGCCCATTGATCTTCAAAACAGGCTCATTATTTTCATTTTCAACGATAAATTTAGGGGACAGTGGGTGCCACTGTTGCCTCACATAGCCCACTGTGTTGCCAGGGGGAGCCTGAACCTCCAGCTAATGGAGAAAAAAGAAGACACCTTGGTTATCAAAAACCATGATGACCACTGCACCAATTTTTGTTGACCCACAATCAAATTCTAATGATAAATCTGAAGATTATTGTGACTTAAAAAAAAAGGCTAAGTCTCCTTTTTCACTAAACAACTGAGATTCGTAGTACCATGGTACCACCTTTTCCTTTTGCCCCAGTTTGTTGTTTCTATTAAAGCAAATACAGTGGGTATAGAAAATAATTACACTCTCTGAGGTGAAGTGACCTCCTCATGACCCAAGCCAAAGTAATCGTCAGTCAATGGAGTCGAGTGGCTGAAACCAGTAAGGCATCAACTTGATCGAGTGATGGTCTCTTTGGCTTGGGTCACCTGGAGGTCACCTCATTTGTTGTTGAATTTTGTAAGATATTAGGCCAGCTCCTCTGATGGAATCCCAAGGCATTCCCTGGTCTGACGAGAGATATAGTCCCTCCATTGTATCCTGGATCTTCCTTTAGGTTTACTCCCAGTTGGATATGCCTGGAAAATCCCACCAGGGAGGCGTCCTAACCAGATTCCCGAGCCACCTCAACTGGCTCCTCTCAAAGTGGTGGAGCAGTTCCGAGACCCTCCCGAATGACTGAGCTTCTCATCCTAACCCTAAGGGAGAGTCCAGACACTGCAGAGAAAACTCCTTTCGGCCGCTTGTATCCACGATTTAATACTTTCGGTCACTACCCAAAGCCCGTGACCACAGGTGAGGGTTGGAACACAGATTGACCGGTAAATTGAGAGCTTTGCCTTCTGGCTCAGCTCTCTCTTCAAAGGATAGACCAGTACAATGCCTGCATCACTGCAGACACAGCACAAATCCGCCTATCAATCTCCCGCTCCATCTTTCCCTCACTAGTGAACAAGAGATATTTAAACTCGTCTTCTTGAGGCAGTCTCCTTCCCTGACCTGGAGAAGGCATTCTACCCTTTTTTGACTCAAGACCATATTCTTGGATTTGGAGGAGCTGATTCTCATTACAGCTGCTTCACACTAGGCTACAAACCTTTCCAACAAAGCTGAAGATCATGGTCTGATGGAGCCAGCAGGACCACATCTTCAGCAGAGACCGGATTCTTAGGCCACCAAAACAGATCCCCTCAGCACTTTGGCCTGGAAATCCTGTCCATAAAAGTTATGAACAGAATTGATGACGAAGGTCAGCCTTAGTGGAGTCCAACTCATACCAGAAGCGAGTACAGCTTTCTGCCACACAGGGACCTAACAGCCCGTATCAAGGGGTCTGGTACCCCATACTCCCAAAGTACTCCCTACAGGGCCCCCTGAGGGACACAGCAAAGGCCTTCTCCAAATCCACAAAACATGTAGATTGGTTGGTCAAACTCCCACGCACTCTCCAGGACCCCTCTGAAAATGTAGAGCTGGTCCAGTGTTCCATGGCCAGGATGAAAACCACATTGCTCCTCATGAATCTGAAGTTTGACTATCTGACGGACCCTCCTCTCCAGAACCCCTGAATAGACCTTACCAGGGAGGCTCAGGTGTATGATTCTCCCTGAAGTTGTAACACACCCTGTGGCCCCCCTTTTTAAATAGGGGGATATATCAGCCCCCGGTCTGCCAATCCAGTGGAACTGCCCCTGATGTCCACCTGATATCACAGAACCGCATCAACCAACACAACTCTACAACATCCAGAGCCTTAAGGAGCCTGGATGGATCACATCCACCCCTGGGGCCCTGCAATCAGAGATTGGAGAGCCAACCCAAGGCCTCCTGACTCCACTTCCACACTAGAAGAAGTGGGATTCAGGACATCTTCGAAGTATTCGCCCCATTGATTCACAATGTACTGAGTTAAGGTCAGCAGCACACCATCCCCACATTTATTTTACCATATCTGAGCTATGGTGTTGAAATATGGGGAAATAATTACAGAGCAAATATTTATCCTATATATTTACTTCACAAAAAGGTAGTTCAAATAATTTCCCATGCTAACTATTTTGCTCCAACAAATCCTATCTTTATCCATTTAAAAATTCTAAAATTTTACGACATTATTGACCTGCATACACTGGTTGTAGTATATCAGGCATATCAGGCTCAACTTCCACCTTATCTCCAAAGGATGTTTGAACTAAGGGAAGGTGGATATAGTCTAAGAGGAACTGGGATTTTCAAAAAAAAAAAAAAAAAGAATATTAGAACCAATAAAAACCAAAGATGTATCTCAGTAAGAGGAGTGAGTTTATGGAATAGCCTCGAGGATAGATTAAAAATGCATGCTCGTTGAAAATATTCAAAAAGAGTTTTAAAAATAATGCCTTACGTAATTACCAAGTGCACCAAAATTCGTTTTGTCACACGTTTATACCTCTTGATTGATTTCAATTGATTTTGTTTTATTCATGTTTATACCTCTTGACTGATTTTGTTGAAATTAGGACGTTGCATGTAATAACTGTATTGTTTATATGTTTATTTACTTTTGATATTTATGACAATGTTGATTTTTTGTAATGAATTAATGGGTAGGCTTAAATAAGTTTAACTTCAGCCTATACCTTTTTGCCCATAAATTATATCTAAAGAAACTGTTTAATTCACAAGAGGAATTTGTACCTGTGATAATTATTATGTTCTTTATTAGATAATTATTTTCCTTTTCATGTGTTTTATATGTATTTGTTATGATGGAAAAATAAATACAAATACAAATATACAGTCTTGGTTGTGCACTGCTTTTGCCTCCCGAGACGCCTGCTGGTGGACCAGAATCTCCTTGAACCCATAAGTAAGTCTTGCTCCATGGCTTCACCAAACTCCTCCCACGTCCAGGTTTTTGACTCTGTGACCAAACAACCAGCATTTGTAAAACTGGAAGAATTGCTGGTGAAGCAGAATGAAAGGGGTAAAAAAGCAGAATTGACGTTGCTTTAGAATCGAAGAACTTAGCCAAAATCTCTCTACAACACTGTAATTTTGTGCTCTCCTACAGATTGCTGTAAAAGACTGATTCTTCTAGATATTAAACACCTTATTTTATGTCACACACCTGCTCTCATCCAATGAAAGGACAGTTAGATAGAATAAAACTTTTTAATGTTATTCGTTTTCATAGATGCTTTTGGTCACTGAGCACTTACTGCTGAAACTGTTGCGATATAACATGGTAGCAATGTACTTAAAGGGCTGATTTTATATGGAGACACAATGGCTGAGAGGAGTGTATTTTCAATCACTTCCTAACCTAACAAAAAATTTCCCAGAACTCTAGCTATGAATATATTGTGGAGATTGACAAAAAGGGAAAGTGGTTCTCTCGCGTTTGTCTAAAAACCTCTGCCAATCACATATTTTTGGACCAAAAGGAACTATTGGACCACCTGGTTGTCGATCTTGCCAAATCGCTGCACTTCCTTGTGTCCTCCGTTCATTACGCACACTCATATTTTGCAACAGAACACCAACGCTGTGAGAGGGTCTCCTCTCAATAATATCAGAGAAGGAGAAACAGCCAGCAGCTACCACTTCAAATTTAGGACAAACTACAAGAGTCCCCCCCCCCCCCCCCCCCAAAAAAAAAACCCCAAACATTTGAAATAATCGACAACAAAAGACATGTGAATGTAGAAAAAGGCAACTGGTGTTTAGCGCTTTCTTGTCTTCTCTGTTTTAGCAGAGTTTCTGGGTTTTAGCAGATGGGTGAGTGGTCTGAGATGTGTGCTGCTTTCAAAACTTAGTTTTTTCTGTAGATCCGCTATCAGCAGCTTCAACTGAAGTCCTTGCAGCCTAATTTCTACCCTTCTTTAAAAACAGATACAACAATAAGTGAAAACTGGATAAATGTGCACAAGTGATCCCACTCACTTCTTGTAAACAGCAGGGAAAGAAACAGGACATGCACTTGAGCGGCCGGGTGATGGTGATCATCTCTTGGCCGAAGTTGTCGAGAACATGGATGGTGAAGGAGCGTAGAGGACCGCAGCATTGTCGACTCAAACAGTCGTTCTCCTCCACAGCATAGAACACATTCTGACCCATTACGTTCCGAACTTCATATTTGTTGTTGCTTTCAAAACCAACAAGGGCTGTGGCAATGGATACGTGCAAAAATTGTTGTTACTGCAGAACAAACAGATGCTTTTTTAAAATAGGTGTGTTGGCGTGCTGTACCTTCAACAAGCTCAACTTTCTGTTTGATGAGTAGCTGATCCACCTATTAGACCACAAATAGTAAGAGTAGATAAAAAAGGACACATGAGCTACTTTATTGCCGTGAAAATAAATGTTTTTCATCAAAGTAGGGCTGGGCAATAAATCGAAAATTTATCGTTATCGAAATTTCTTACTCTTATTGTGATAATTTTTCCCATGCCAATAAATTTGATAATAAAAAAAAATGAAAAGATGTGTGTAGGTTGGCAATGTTCATGTCCCTTTAAGAAGCTGTACCACCTTGAGTCACGTAAAAATGTGACTCAACATAATACATGTGACAGCCCCATCTAGTGGACAACTTTTGTTTCTGCAAATACCTGTAGTTATCGTCCATTTATCGTTATCGAGGTGAAATCCTCAATATATCGTGATATTGATTTTAGGCAAAATCACCCAGCCCTACATCAAAAATATCATCAAAATTTAAAAAGAAAAAGCATAATAACAAGATTTTAAACCATAGACAGAGTTCCATTCATGTAAACTAGTTTACAAACTGAAATCAAGCCCTGAATCTGATCCCAAGACAGTTTTGTGGCAAATCTACATCTTTAGAAATCTAACCAAAACATCTTTAATTTCTACTGACCAGAACAACAAAGACTCAGGCAACTCTCGGCAACAAGCATTTTAGGATTGACTGTTAAAATATGTGTGTTGCAGCTTTTATATTTTGTTGAACAAAATAGCAGTATATGATTTTTGTCATGAAAAGAACTGCAAATGGAAACTCAAGTGTTCCACAACTTTCTATATTGAAAGAAAAGTGTTTCATTCACTCCATTTGATTGTTGTCTAGTTTTTTTTTTTGTATATAAGATAAAATTGTAAGATCATTTGCAACTAGAGCTGTATCTGGGTGTGTTTTTGGTGGAACTTGCTGTATCAACTTAAGTTTCTTTTTAAAAATAGACTGAGAAATCTACTATTTAGCAAAAACAAGGTGAGGTTTGTAGATCTGTTGCCCATGAAATAAAATTAAACCAAGAGCATGGTTAACAAAATCAAATCCCTAATTTTAGGAGGTTTTTCTTCTGCATTTTATTGTTGTTTATTTTGCATGAATTCTGCATGTGTGTTTTTGCAAAGACCTTGGTGAGTTAAAATATAAATAGCTTTGTTGGCCTGTGGGTGTCACGTTCTGCAAGTTTAAGCAACAATCTAGTGAGAGAATAATGATATTATGTGAGCTCTGATGCATGCATGATGTTGATGTAAAGATCAGAATTCCCTTTGGCCTTCATTACAGCAATAATAAGTTAACTAACCCTTACCTGTGTCAGGTACTCTAATCCTGGCGGACAGCCTGGAATTCCCGGACTGGGAACTGCGTACATGTTCATGCCTTTTAAACCTGTTGATGAGTGTTGGAATCAGGAAAATGGCGCCATCTTGTGCTTTTTTAGGTCACAGTCAAAAACAATTTCTGGTCCGTCGCACCAGACAGGCATCATGGTTTCGGTTTGTACTGGAAACGGTGAGTGTGGAGATCTGCTTTAGGAGCGTTTGGATTCTAGGGGGAGGATCACTGCTGCTCCCTCCCTATTGGCTGGTTGGTGACACAGATCTATTCTAGATTTAATTTAGAAAGTAAAAACATCATCTAGGGTGAGATTCGAGCAGGAGAACAACAGATCCAACTGTCCTGAGGTTTAACCACATCTCTGACCGCTCATCGTCAGCTGGCGAGAGGCGCGCGCTGCGAGCGCTCATCTGCCCACTTTTTTTTTTTACTACTCAAAGATAAATGGTAACGGCGATTAGTTGTACTCATAAATGATTAAAATACGTTTAGAACTCGACAGGAGACCGACAGATGGAACACGAGAATCGGGAATACTCACCGATTTTAACCTGCTACTCCAAATAAAACCAGGCCACCCAGCACGAAGAACCCACGGAATAAAGCTCCAATCTCATTGGTTGACGTCACTGAGCTTCCTACCTCCGAGAGCCAATCAGATTCAGGCAGAATAGAAATAAACCCAACAGAAGCGAACAGGAGGAACTAGATGTGATTTCAATAGAAAATATTAATCATAAAATGTATTAAAGAAAAAAATCTAAAATAAAATGATTGTTTTGTTGTCAATTATTGAGTGATGGGACAACGTTGGGAGGGGATTGTACAGTTTTCATATTTAATTTAAGTTTAACCACTTAAGATTTAGGAAGTGCGATTTTGGATGGAAAAGGAACAGCAACGGTTTTCCACCAAAATCACCAAAAGGCTCAAGGTTTACTTTATTAATCCCCAAGTGGTGAAACTGAGTTGCAATAGATGTGAAAACAACCACAAACAGACAAATATATTCATATACACCCATAAATATTTGTATCACTCAACAATTTCAATAGGTTGGCCTTTGATGACCACTGGAGAGAAAGTTTGTTTTATCTTCCTAAACAATAATTAGCTTTTTTGTTTTGCCAACATTAAGTTGTAGAAAATAGGCATGACACCATCTAAAAAAGGAGTCCTCCCTGTAAACCAGGTCATCACCCCGAGAGACCAGGCCCAGCAGGGCAGTGTCATCTGATAAATTTTGTTAAAAGACTGTAAACGATGCCTACAGTCAGCTATAGGCATCGTTTACAACTAAAATACATTGAGACAGCAGCTAAAATATGTGGGACAAGATGGGAATGTTAGAACTGGACTCTTCCTGTTGAGGGAAAGTAGTTAAAATAATAATAAAACTAATAAAAGCCCGTTATTTCTAATAATGTTTAGAAATCAGTTTGCCACAAATACCTAAGAAAAACAAAATGCTTCCTCTAAAATAATACTTCTTAAAAAACAATTTTAAATCATGTGCTATCCTGACTATAAACCTTAACAGAAACAGTGGGATTTGTAGTTTAATAAGTAACACTTAATTAAAAAAAACATGCTTGAATGTCTAAAGATGTTCTGGTTCAATGAGAACTAAAACAATTCTAATTTTTGTTCTCATCCTTCATCACATTTCTGTTCTTTTCATTCATTCTACAGATTTATAGACAAATGACCAGAACCTGGAAGCTGAAACTGGAACAGGACAGATTCCAAGCTTAAGCCCCGCCCCTTCCTGGTAGAACAAACGAGACACCTTCCTAATAAAACATTAAAAACACATCTCAGATATTTTTTCCTGGTGTTCACTTGATGGTTCATGTGGTTCTTACCTTGCTGCTGCATGTTCAATTATTCAATGTTCCTCATTTGTTTAGCTGTAATTAGTTATTTGATGCTTCAAAAACACCACAAGTGTGTGGGTAAGCAGGAGAGACAAATGTAAAAATACCATGGCAACGCCTGTGGTCAGTATTTAGCTTTACTTTCCTGAAATGAAAGCAAACAAAAGTTCTACCTTTACTGTTTTTTGCACCAATAGAATTTGACCAACTCAGTGTCTTTACTGTTTCCGTTTTGTCTCTTGTGAGTATTTTATTGTGCATTTTTATTTCATTTCTGACATTTAAGTTGAATTAAATAATGTGCTTCTTTTCCAGCTTTTTGTGTTACACCTCCTGATAAAGTTATAATCTCCAAATGAAGGACAAAATGGACGGAAGGAAGGTAGATGATGGACGTAAAAGAAAAATGCAAAAATATTTTTATCTATTTTGTGGAAAAAGTGCACAAGAGAAGATTATAAAAGTCAAATAGTTAAACTAGGAGGGGTGATTACATGAGTGATGAGTATGCTAACATGGTGACAAGATGAATATACTGGAAGTGAGGGCTCCGTGAGGGACAGGAAGCCTCTGCAGGGTGTACCATTTCTCTCACTTCCTGTGACCTTGAACGAGAGAAAGTAGGGACAAAAGATGGTAGGATGAATGGTGGATTTAGGGACAATGAAAGGGAAAACCATCAAAGCAAAAACAAATGAAAAATCTACGGAATTAAAAAATATATAATCAATAACTAAAACATACATGTAATTATCTTATTTTGTTTTTATTTAAAATTAACTAAACTTGTCTCTGATTTTACATGATATAAATATTTAAAGATGTGCAAAGTAAGAAGGACATTATGTGGTCAAACGTGGGTACTGCAGTCCATGTATCAAAACAAACAAGTCTGCTCTGAGCAGCTGTTGCCAGTTACGGCTCAGTAGGGTTGGGCATCGTTTGATTTTGAACGATTCCGATTCCAATTCAATTCTTCGTTTTGATTCCGGTTCCTATTGATTCCCGATTCCGATTCTTTAACATGAGCCAGATAACCACAGGTCCTACTTGATGAAATAATCTAAACTTCAACATGAATTCTAATTCTATGAACAACAACATCACCTTCATTTAGACAAAAACATGTTTTGGAGAAAAAAAGAAAAAGACTTACAGCACAATCAGTTTGTTTGTTTCTGACCACAACCAAAGTCTGGAAGAAGCCTCTGGGATGAGAGGCTAAATGTCTCCATCATATCCAGAAACGTCCAGCTGTATTCAGCTAAAACTCTCTGGATGATCATGTCCAGGATGACTGCGAACTACACCTCCATGCTGCAGCAGCATTCAGTCAGAACAGAAAGTGAAACTTAAATGTAGCTGCTGTCAGTAACAATCTAACAGATTTTAAACATTAAAACTCAACAGAAATAGTTCAAAAAGGAAATTAAAATGTTCACAACTTTGTGTGTGATTTATTATTATTATTATTATTATTATTATTTACTGTGGCAGAAGCTGGTGTGGTCCACCACAGAGAAGCTGCTCTAGCATGATGACTTTAATTATTCTACGGGTTATTGTTCAGCCTTCTGACGCTCCAACACATTCTCACTCCCAGCGCATCAAAAACACGCTTGGTCAGCCACCCTCCGCCTCAGACCCCGATGCCAAAAGTGTCCTTCTTGGTTACTTATGTGCAAAAAGGTTTTTTTCCCTTTTCTGACTGCAGATCCCAATGCAGCGCTACACTGACGCGATGGGATGTCCGCAGCCAGGGCACCAAACAAGCTTATTGTACCTCACCCTAACCTTATCCTCTTATTTAACCTTCCCCTCACCCCTACCCTAACCTTAACAATCTTGCCAGCGAACACGTTAGTGATGTGTCGATCGCTCTAAAAGCCGTCTCTATGAAGTGAACGGCGGGAGCCACATCGTCATTGGTCGAGTTTGGACCGAGCCAACGTGAGGGGGAGGTTTCAACTACCACGGTGGAGGTTAAAAGCAAGCCCCCACAATGCGGGACAAAAATTGAGTCAAATGCGGAAATGAAATAAACTGCAGTTCCACCCTCATCCGCTGGGGGCTGGTGTCAGAAGCGAGCAAATCTTCATTGACTCCCATGTTAAAAATACCAATTTCACAGCAGAAATAAACATGTTCAGAGCCTGGTACCAACACATGTTTTAGGTTTAACAGATCTCGTTTACACTCATGCCAACTCTGAGGGGGGTGAATTTTTTTCTCACTCTTCTGTTTAAGTGTATTAAAAGCCTAAAATTCTGTATAATTAATGAGCATCCGACCCACGTGACCGCAGAGCTAGCTCCAGGGAAAGGCCTCAGAAGAGCCTCGGTCTCGCCTGAAAACTGTTTGGTCATTTTCAGTCTCTCAACTTAGACCATTAGTTGTAGCGTTTGTGCGTTTTTTTTGGATATTATTTGTGCAATTGTTGGACAAAATGACTTGCTGTGGCATTAATTGCACTAATAGAGCGTCCAAGGAGTCTCCACTTCATTTTTTTCGGTAAGTAAAATTATATTTATGTATTTTAGGTCACTGCCGCTCTTGCACTAGCTGAACTTAGATTATAACATGTACTGTTTAACCATGAAATTTAAATGTAATAGGGTAAAACCCAGTGCATTTAACATAATGCTGCACTTTAGAAAATGGGTTGAAATATAACATGTTGGTGGAGCTGGCTTCCGACTATCGGCTTGTGGAGCTCTCGGGAGACCGATGTTTTCCTCCCGTTCTCCCCTCCCCGCAGCTCGGCGCATCTCTGTCTGATAGCGGCTTCTGTCTGCTGCGCGGGCTGCCGGCTTGTGGAGCTCTGGGATGGAAACCTTTCCACCCGGTTCTCCCCAGCGGCAGCTCTGCGCATCTCAGATCGCAGCTGCACTTGTCTGCTGTGCAGCTGCCGGCTTGTGGAGCTCTCGGAGACCTTTGTGTTCCACCCAGTTTTACCCAGCGGTCAGCCCGCCGTATCTCTGACTCAGAAGCTCTGGTGTTGTGCACAGTTAACTCCGGTTGTAGCTAGGTTGCTACCTCCGTTAGCTTAGCTCCCACCTCTGCATTAGCTTTGGGTTAGCTTCAGGTTAGCTTGTAGCTAGTTTGGCCGGGTGTCGTCAGTTGATCCCAGCCTTACAGCCCCACCCTCAGCTCCACCTCTCTTCCCTTTTGTGGAATTGTCAGGGCTTGACGGAACCTGTGACACGGTAAAAATGGCGGTGGTGGCCACCTCCCATTTTTCTTCAAAAATGTGTTATTGGAGTCTATGGAAACCCATTGTCCAATATGTCGATGGTTAAAAGTAGAGGGTATTTGTAACCTCCCCCTCACCAGATGGTATGTTCTAACGTTCCCCTTGGTCGGCAAATACAAAAATTCACAGTCAGAATGCATGGGAAACAAACGCTTGATCAAAGTGAGAGTAACGTTTTAGGTAGCAAGAGTGTTAAGGTTAGGATGAGGGAGAGGGGAAGGTTATAAATAGTGAAACGTTAAGGTTTAGGTGCGGTTAAATGAGCTGGTTCTGTGCCGCATCAACGGATATCCCATCACGTCAGTTTTACGTTGCATTGGGATCTGCAGTTAGAAAAGGGAAAAACCCCTTTTTGCACAAAAGTAACGAAAAAGGGCACTTTTTGGTGTCAGGGGTCTAAAGTGGAGGGTGGCTGACCAAACATTTGTTTTTGATGCGCTGGGAGTGAGAATGTGTTGGACGCTCACGCGTCTGACTGCTGACGCTCCGTGTG